TGAAAAAGGCGATTAATTAATTAATTTTTTACTGAAACTTTGAAAAAAAAATACTTGCAGTACATTTTATAAACATCGGAGTAATTGAATGTAAGCTGGCGCTGTAATGAAGCAATTGCACTATCTTTATTGAAATAAATTATAATATACTAATCGAGTCAAATTCTGTCAATACCCACTATAATATAGCTTAACGTCTTTTCCAAAATTTGAATGTTTAAAACTTTTGTTTATTACAATCAAATAAGATCATTTTTATAAATTAGATGATCATCATCTACCAAAGTTATTACCAAATTCTTGTATATGGAAATATTTGTCGAGAGCCTTCTTAAAAATAATTGTTTTATGACTAAAAGTAGACAAGGGACTTGCAGAAACTATAAAATCTTTCAGTGCCTCCGTGGAAATTTCTATGTGAGAAAAATCTCAAAAATATGAGTCATCAAAATGCTGAGCCTGAGAATTGAGTACCGCTCGAGTACCGCTCCAAGCCGGTGCTAGGGGCGTGAGTGATGTTGCACGTATTCATTATCCCTCATCAAACCGAGTTTGCAATTCTCTTGTAATTTTGTTGTGATTAATGCTCCAAGGGATCACTTTGTTTCCAGATTTTTATACAGAATCACTCAAGGGAATAGATAAAGTGCATTTCGAGACCCAATTAAAAACAGGTGTGTACTCATCCCGAATTAAAAAAAACATTTTCTAGCTCTAAACAAGGAATGAATCTGAAATTGTTTATATTCATGTTTTTAAATGCACTTTCTATCAGTCCTCAAAATACTTGTATGTTTTTATACACTAACCTGTACTAGTGAAATTAAAACTTTATTTGTTCATCGATAATTATTTATCCTTCAAATTTATCAACCCTAAGAATATGTTTAAACATTGATCAATTATTAAAATATTGATTCATACATGGCTTTAACTTCGATAAAAAAAATTACATAAAGATATGATTAATGAATTTACAAAGCAATGTCTGAAAGTTATGTGATAACTCGGAACAGTATACACTGCCAGCTTCCCTTTTTAGAAAGATTCAAACTTTTTCTTGTTTTAAGTACTAAAAATATTAAAGTCTGACCAGTCATGTGATTGTTATAGCTATTGTGCTCTGTTCATTTAATTATGCCTCTCTCTGTTGGCAAACCATAAACTATTAAGTTCTAAGTCTTCACACATACAGCTTATCTGTACATTTCAACATGTTTATAAAGTTATGTGCTCATTATCAGGGATAATCACAAATAATATATCTCATTAAACCTGTCTGTACGTGTAATTATATTTCTTCTCGCTTTTTGATGTAAAAGAAGCAAAATCTACCTTCTTGTTAAATTTGGATATTACAGTGAATTTTATCAGATCTTTGTACGCGAAGAGTTTGTTTAAACATGTTTGACTTGTCTGAATCTGACTCTTTTTCCATTGCTTATATATCCCAACCAATATACTTTTTCCTTCACTCATGCCATCGGTGTAATTTTCCATAAAATGTTTAAAGTTTTACATGCAGATGCCTTGATGTACATTTGTATAAAACTATGTAACCCTTTAGATTAAAAAATATCCTTTATGATGGGACTTTCTCTTTTACAATCTTAAATCAACTTTTAAAAATAGAAAAACTATTTTTTTTATTTTTGTGTGGGTTTTTTCTTTCTTGTTTCTTTCTTTTTTGTTTTGGTATCTATTGACTATGATTCTAATTGCATTTATAGTATCATTAAGTCGCTTGAAAATTATAAAAGGATATTTCAGCCTGGATATAGCTTCGTAATGTTTTCTGATACTCGGCTTATCAGTAATCAATGCGGTCAAGAATAGGGATATGTTAAAGGCACATTTAGACTCAGGAATATTTTTTCTTTCTTTCTATAGAAAGGGCAAAGATGTGTTTTAGTATGTTGTAATCATTTTTGTAGTAAGAACATTTCAGATGCTAATCTTGTGGAAATATAAGCATGGAATGTGAAATAAATTTTTGATAAAAAGAGCGATATTTAACAAAATGGTCCCTTTTTGTCTTCATACAAAAGACTCGCTATTTACTTTTTTGCAAGAACCCCAAAGGAAGCAAAACATTGCCAAGCTTATTGGTCAATAAGTGACATTTATAAACCTGTAATATAACATCAAATTTTGAAAATTGAAACTTTTTCCACCATATAGGCTTAATGAGTCATTAAGTTCTTTTTGTTTTGGATTAAACAAGAGATAGTCGGCTTTCAGCAACATGGATGTTCTAAACCACTGTCTCCCATTCATTAACATTATTACAAGTTCATTTTCATATAACGGACAATTTAATCATCATATAATGCAGAACATAAATACATGACCTCACCTACATTCTTGTATTTTTCAACAACTGTTTTCTTTAATGCATCTCTGAGTGGTCCATAATGCACCATTGCATGCATTCCTCTTAATTTTCCTTCATTTTCCCGACGATTTCAAATCTACGAGTACATCAACAAACCCCCAAGCTCCGGTTTTCCTGTGATGAGTAACTGGTTAAATCTGCGTCAAACACAGCGCCATAGCGCAGAAACACTTTCTACAATAGTAATTTAAGGCCCTTCTTATTTCGAACAATAAAATACATTGAGCAAAACTTGTAAACAATCATTACCTGTGGCATTATTGAAGTTGAAAGCTTTTTTTTAACGTTGCACCAACACAGTTTAGGTCATATGGGAACTTACAAAGAAGACCCCAGGGTCCCCTCTGTAACATTATTTCAGGCACATACTTACCCCGTTTGTTCATAAGCAGGCTAGATAGCTTTATCACATGAGTAATCCGAATGTGGACACGCGGCTCAAACCCCCAGCAGTGGAGGCTAGTTTGTCGAATTGAACTTGAATGAAACGGAACATTATTTGCGAGTTATATTTTATATTAAATATTTGTCCAGTATTGTGGGGGAATATGTTAAAAGTGAGGAAGCTTAGCGTTAGAGCAGTAGTATGGTATTCCAAAGGTCCTGTGTTTAGAGAAGTCAGGCTCCATTTGTCTTCTAACAGTACATTTTATCTCACCTAGTGACACATTTAACAGGACTAGAAAAATGGGCTTAGGTGAGCTTTATAAAACTAACAGTAAAACATTTCTGAGGCAAGTTCCATGAAGGTCTATGAAAGTAAATGAAATATTCTTTTTATCACATTAAAATAAATCAAGAAAATGCTACAAATTTTCAAAAAATCGTTATCATTCTTTTCTACCTATAAATACTTACCATACTGTTCACCTTCATCGCCAATTCTGGCCATCTCTACAAGTAATTCAAGAACTCCAAGATCTACCAAGGTCTTCGTAATTAGTATATTTTTTCCCAAATAATAAACAACTTTATAAAAAAAGTTAAAGAAACCATTTAATTTTTTTTTCTGCATTTTTTGTTCTTTTACAGTAAAAATAGTTAAAAGGGAAAATAAGCACCCTTTCCTCTTTTTTCCTTTCCCAGAATTTTCTTGCCCATATACTTTTTAGGGTTCCCCCTTTTGGGGAAATTTTTTAAACTAAAATAAACATTATTTTAAACATTTACTGTTTATAAAAGATACAGTGCTATTTTCCTAATTACACTTTTACAGTCAAATCATTTAGGCTGAGAAAACCACAAGGGATTGAGGATAGTGGTTGGCAACATTTAATAGACCAATTATGTTAAACTGGCCCAAACTATTTCACTTTGAAGGTAGAAAGTCATATGAAGAAAAATGACTTACACAGTTATTTTATTATTCTGTTCTATAAGCTAAGTAAAAATAAGTTTTTCGTTTTAAAATTCAGTCATTTCTATTTACAAAAATAAGATGATTCATTGTTAAATTTTTAAAATTTCGGAAACATTCATCGTTATGGCCTCATCCGAATTCAACTAGCCATGCCCTAGCTGGTTAGTGCTAAATTGGCAGATTGTTTTTATGCAATAATAAATAGTTAATAAGAATGAAAGTACAATACAAAGTTTCCATAAAAAAATGTAGAAAAACTCTCCATATAGCTAGCTTGACACACACACGCGCGCATCAACACGCACGCACACTCGCACACGCACCCCAAAACAACATATGCATGTCGTAATGTTATGTCAACCGGCCAACACACGCATATTCACACGCACACCTTCACACACCCCCCCCCCACACACACACACTAACATTACCTCATGCTTCTATTGACCGCAATATGAAAGTAAACTTTAAGTCTTATTGCTGCTTAAGCAAGTTATACTATCGTCAATCTTCAATAATAGTATTAAAAACTGGAAAATGCATATATTTGGTATTTATTATATTCAACAAAATCACTAAGCCCTCAGTAAAATCTCGGATAACTGGATCTCCACTTAATCCGATATCCTCAATAAACCAAACATTTCACATTGCCTCGGACTTCCTATCTGTTTTTTTTTAAAGTCCCCATGAAACCAAAATACCGCTACTCCAGATACAGCACATATATGTGAAAGAATAAGTCGATTGTGTACAAAACTTTTACCTCGATTTAATAAAGAACTTACTAAAAACAGATTCTTGACAGGACCATCCTCTACATTCTCGCATTTTATCCTTCATCCCTTCCCTGATACAGTCCAACAAGATCATTACAATGTCCTTGTTACTTTTGATGACATTACTTTCTTCTTCATTGATTACACCTATAGTATATGAGTATATTTGCAATTCCAGAAATGAAACAAAAACTAAAAGACCATTACCCAACCCAATCCCCTACAAACAGTTCTTTATTCCTTAAACAAATGGCAAGCAGTTGTTTCCGTGATCAGTACACTACACACTCATTGCTTAGTGGTGGTTCAGTGCAGGAACAGATTGAAAAGCTTTTTTAATAAGCTTATCGCTATCAATACAATTAAACTAAACAAAATTTTTATAAACTCAGAAAAAGCAACGAACTTTTTTCTGTTTAATATAAGCATAGATATTGAAGGGGGCTTTTATTTATAACCTTTCAATAGTCTTTGAATTATATTCCTATCCCAAATGAAAGTTTATTGGCCTGAATATTTGTACGCCCAAGGATAAGCCAACTCTGTTAGCAAATCATATTCATTTGAGGCATTTTGATTGTGTTCCCCAACGTGTCATTTAATTCATTAATTCGGTAATCATATCCGTGCACAAATTAATAAGCTTAAACCGCCTTTCAGACACTGAGAGTCCGATTATGGATATGTATCGATTGATGTCCTTAAATGCTATAATTTGCCTTCAGGTAACGTATTAGAAAGATAAATGCACAAATTATCTAGTTTTAAGAATTAAAATCGTCCCTCCCAGCAAAAATTACATAAATCTGATTTTACAACTTTTCGGAACAACGACAAAAGTTCATATATATTTCAAACATTGAAGAAACATAACGAAACTTTGCATGCTGTCTTACAATATGATGTGTCATGGACTGAATTGGTTTTAACCATAATTTGCTTGCTGTTCTTGTAAAAAGGGTTACGAAAATTTATGTGGAGTTATGAAAAAAAAAAGAAAAAAAAGAAAATATAAATAAACAGACCATAAACATGGTTCTAAAAAATTCTTACTTTATAATCAGACCTTTTACAAAAAAATGCTTTAGATCTATTAAATATATCGGTCTTATGTGTAAGTTATTAACAAACACCAGGTTCACAGTTATCACGTTCATGTATCATGAGGAAGGTTATCATAGAAGCCATGGTTATCACTTTGATTTACCGATTTTAAACTCACCAGGTGCTGGTACTGTCCCTTTTAAATTAAATGCTTCTTTGGTACAACTTGCACAGTGTATCTGATTCGGAAAAATCAGCACTTGGTTAAGTGTGTTTAGCTTTGGGTACTGCTGCGAAGGATTTATCGTTGTGCTGAATTTTTTAGTCACTGATACCATCAACATCATACCGTTTCACACGAAAATCAGTTATTTTGTGATTACAAGGTCGGATTGTGGGAGAAAAATTGAGCTTTCCAAAGTCATAAAATAATGTGTGATCAATAAATTAACTTCGTACCCGACTCCCTGTACCTTAGCATTCCTTATGAATGTGTCCCACGTTCATCTGTGGTATATGCACACTTTGCTTCGGAGCCTCGTTTAAATTGTGGAGTGACACCATTTGAGTGTGACCCTATTCCAAGTACCTTCGTTGTACCCAAATTGTTTACTGCACCGACCACAACAACAATGTGTTGGCAATTGTAGCGGTACATTTATGGTATGTGCAACAATCACAATATTTTATTTTATGGTAGGAGGACAAGTTGCTTTAAGAAATTGTGGATAACAACTGACAACAAACTACGGTAAGACTGCCATAACAAAAACTCGGATGAGCAAAGATAAAAGGGAGAGAAGCTTTCTGTACAGGCCAGCCAAAAATGGAAGCTGGTTAAGACAACTCAAAACTCAGTTTGGTAATGGTTCTTAAAAGAAAACAATTTAATCACAAACCTGCCAAACTTGCCAATGCTGTCAATGCATATTTTGTGTTTGGAGACTTCAGATAAGGTTTCAAACACGAGAGTATGCCAGCATTACGTAGATTCAAAATATTGGTTTCTCTCATTGACATATTGTGAACAATGGTTAGAGAAGGTTCAATCAAGTGTTTTTCGATTCCCTGAAAAATATTGACAATTCTCTAAGCTGTCAAGTAAAAAATAATGAGAAAAAAAAAGCAAAAGAAAAAAATTAAGTAACACAGACAGTGTATATTTACCTGCCTTTATTCGTTATTTTGTTGGTTTATTGTGTTTATTTGTTTTTGCTTTTTTAATTATGAATGGTCATTTGATTTTACTGAAAGAAACTGTGGATATAAATTATCAAGAAACAAACAAGTTGATAACACTGGCTTAACATTTGAACAAATTTTGAGTGAAAAATGCATTTTACTTGCAAAATTTCCATTTGTTATGACTTTCGCAATACGTAAACATGTTTTATTAAACACTGTTGTGAAATAAACAACTATTACCAAACATTTTAAAGTTAAATTACCACTAGTTTCGGTTCTCCTTCCTTTGCAAAATATTTTGGCAGTGACTCTCTTAGTACTTGTATAAGTGTATCAAGAAATCCAGGTTCATTTGCAAGGCCAATTGCATATTCATCACAGCAATCACTGAAGTTACATAGGGTATCAAGGCTTCTTATTAAAGGCACGGTCTTACTTTCTTCCTCATTTCCTTCTTCACTGCGCCACCCGTTCATATATGTATGCATTACAATTTCACAGCTCAATTTGAAATATTTAGTTTCAATCATTAATTCTGCTATGTCTTTCCGAAATTTGATTATATTTTCTCGACTTGTTTTTTCCAACTCATAGTAAGCCTCGTCAAATACTAAAGCGGCATCATAGATCTCATCAACAAATGCTCCCCCTTTTTGGTGGCGAGTCAGAAGTGCAACTACTGCCTCTGCGGTTTCTCTAAGGTCATCAAAGGTTTCTTGTCTAAATTCTTCAAGTTCTTTATCTGTCATCCATTCATTTTCAACTTTCTTTCCTCCAACTCCGGCATCTTCCTTGTCTGTACTTTTATCTATCTCAGTATTTTTGTCATCACCAATTTCTTGCTGTTTATTTAAATTTGACATTGTAATAGAATGTGCAGGAGAAGGAGTTATAATATCATTTGTAGGCGGAGCTTCAAAGTGGTCATCGGGAGGCGGAGATTCAATACCCTTTGAAGTAGAAGCTGCAATAGTAACACTTTCTAGACAGTGAGAAGGGGATTGAGCTATTTCTGTATATTCTTCAATATTTCTTTCAGACTTTTCTTGCTTTTGTAATTCTGTTTCAGTAACTTTTGTATTGCCAGTTCCAGAGACTGAAGAACACATTGAAATGTCCTGTCTAAAATATGAAGTATGAAATGATAGTACATATTATAAACATAATGTTATTTCTTACAAAATACCGAAAAACAAATTTGAATTTGGACAAAAATAGCAGACAATTTGGATATTATAAAACACCTAAATCTCTTCCCTAATTAGAGGAACCCCCTGAAATTTTCCAAATTATTGGACTAGTTGATATAATCATGCAGAGTCAAATCTTCTTGATGAAATATTTTCAAGTAAAAATATTTTATTTTTATCAAGTACAGAAATTGCATAATCCATATTTTTCGTAAATGTTGTGAATCTTTTGCTTCTTATTTAACAAATTTAAGGAAACGTTAACACTATAGACTTTACAATTTCAATAAAAATGACACCTGTTTTTCACAATTAGATTGTGTGTGCTTTCGGCATTTTACAATTAATGTAGACATATGCACTTTACCGGTACATAAAAATATAAGTAGATTTTCTGAAACTAGTTTACTGAGTTAAAGCAATGACTAAGCACAAATATGTAAGGCTTTTCTATTTTGTTGAAAATTCAATTTTTATTCTGTTTCATATCTTTTAAATTCTGGTGACCATAACGTTATTTGTAAATACATCAGTCGCTATACTGCACAGTGGTAAAACGCGGTCAACGATATGCATTACCGGTAGCGAGTATAAATAAATTCTCTCACACACACACACGCACGCACGCACATTACCAAATTCAGCATAAAGATATTATTATGGGTAGTTGCTTGAAAGGTTAAAACTGTTTTGTTCAAATATGCAATTAAGAAAGAAATTCTTGTTGATACCTCTTGTTGTGTCAGAGTGATGACCCATGTAAAATGATAAAAATGTAATACTCCAAAATTAGGCATTTGCAAAGTAACTTGTTCTTGTGCACCACTAATAAGTTTAGTTTGATACATTGTGTAGTTTCAGTACTATGTCCGACCTGGACAAGGTTCAACATGTATAAATAAGAAAAGGGCCATAGATCCAAGATCAGGCAACGCAGAGTTACGGGTCATATGTATTTCATTTAGACTTAATGACATATATCTAGTATCTACCTAAACATTTTCATGTTGATACCGCGTGAAGTTTCAGAGTTACTAGTACGTCCCAGACAAACAAATGTAGACATTTAAACGGACAAAGCGGCGACTATGTGCTCTCCCTTCTTGGAGCATAAAAACGTCATTTCTCACGGTATGATCATCCTAATGTATTATCTCTGTTCTAAAGAGTATCAAATAGGCTAGAACTTCTGTAAACTGCATTGAAGCTTAGGCCAAAGGTTCAAACCCCCAAAAAGTCAACTTTTCTTACTTTCTAATTATTCTTCAAACATTATTTATGTATCTCTAATATCTCTCTTGGAAAGAAAAACGTGTTTAATTTTGATTATATAATTAATATAGATATGAAATAAAAAATTAAGATAAACAATTAGACTTGGTTGACTTTGTAAAGACCGATTGATAAATCGTATGTGAGACTTTAAGACAAGTATTGAGCATTTCTCTCCCAACTCATCTTTAGAGCGTAAACGTAAACACACTCATAAAATATAATATTGTGATAAAATCTATTACTTCAGATACATTTCAGGGCCAATTATCACTTTCTCTCCCGCATATGGCGTGTATTAATGTCTTAAATACACTTGACAAATCTAATTGTAACTCTTTTTTAAAATACTGTTTTGGAAATCTATTTCTCTCGTTGAAACTCCTGTCTCTGTAGATTACTACATATGGTAACTTCTACAGAGTTGCTTCCCTTATGTGTACAAATAGTCAACTAGAATATAAAAAATGTTTTTTGTCATATTCTCGGAATGAATATGCCGTATTGTTTCTTTAAATTACTATAAAACTGTGTTTGAACAATACATGCTGAAGTTCCCATCATAAAATCAAGCGATTCGTGCTTATACCATAAAAGTTATTATACAGCTCGATGTTTTGATGACAGAAAATGTGACGTCATTGTTCCAGTTTGCGCACGTTTTTTGTGCTCAGTCGGCTGATTATGAGTCTTCGGCCTCGGGCCGAAAACTCATAATAGATCACGTGAAACTCGATCATAATGAAGTGAAATCAAAGGCAATTGTGTTACAATATGTAGTAACAAGTGCTTTAAATTTATTAACACGCTATAATCAACAAACAACCATTAGTTCTTTAGAAATATGAAAGTTAATTCCGTTATGCAAAATGTCAATTTCATCAACATTACTTACATTCTGTATTTTTATGTTTTTGTGGCTAGTCTGTTACGTAGCAGAAACAACACTTTTATATTGCATATATATTAGACTTACGCTGGCAACAAATATGAAGTAAAAGTCAATTATCTTACCCGTTGAAAATATGTATTTTTTATTTTCACTTGTTTCAAATATACCCGTTTGGCAGTACTGTATGTGTTATCCTGCTTTTCTAGGTTTTTGACGCTGGACTTGTTACGCAGCCGACAAACATATTTCGCATATATTACGAAATATTGCTAGCGTTTTTAACAAATTTGAAATTTATAGTCATTTATCTGAACAGTTGAAGAAGTAAATGTTTAATCCGTTTTATTAAACTTTTTTTGTTGCTCGTAAATGCGCTTTTCGGTTTTTTCATGTAGTACTATAACGTAGCCGAAAACACTTTAATATCACACACAGTAAAATATTGCCAAAATTTTACACTGGTAAAAAACAATAGTAACCAAATATTGCCTCGTTTTAAATTTATTGCCCGTAATATGTGTTTTCGGCTTTTCGATGTTTTTGACGCTAGACAGTTACTTAGCCGCCGAAAAATACTTTCATATCGCATAAATTACAAAATAATGCTTACATTTTACACTATTAACAAGAAAAGTTATAATAAAACTTTTAAACGTTAAAAAAATAATTTAATTATTCTTGTTTTCACTATACATGTATATCTATTTTATCTCGCGTAAAACGGTCACACGAATTACTGGAAACAACCAAATTGACCGGAAACTACAGTAAACACCCGCAAATACCGGAAAACCCTTTAAAATACATACACTTCAAGGAACTTTTCATGAAGTTAGTGGTGCATAAATGATTTCAGAGACATAGAAATTACTCTAGTTTTATGCTTATTAAATTAGAAATAAACACTTGCAAAAATGAAGATTCATACATTGGGAAACAATATGAGGCTTAGCGGAATAAAACTGTCTGGATTTGGTCATATAATCTTTCAAAAATCTTTATAAACTAATAACGCACATTGAACAACCTTTATAATGCAACTAAAATATATGCATGCTGAACAAATAAATCCCGATAAGATTTCTCATGATCATATTTGTTGTGTTTCTTAACTTTTGCTAGATTGACAAGGAACGTATCTTGCAGATTTTAATACTGATTTATTTACGACCAATTTCTACCGCTGTCTTTTTACACATAAAATAATAATGACTAGCACGCTGTTGACATCTCATGTTTAACACACACCCTTACTTAAATACAAACTTCCCATATAGAAACAAACAAGAAAACCCTTTACTAAAAAAATCAAGAGAGAAAAAAATTCTATGATATTATATCGCACATTGTAACATTTGTATCGCTGTATCTTTTTAACTGATAATTGCTTTAATAAAAAAAACATTTTCACATCTTTAAATACTTTCTTATCAAACCTTTTATGTAAAGCAGTCCTAACGTTTCATGAATAATCATGAAGAATTGTTAATAATGAGGAATCTTCCAAAAAATATATATTAAAACAAACATCAAACAAATGAATTAACAAATATATTACAGTGTACAAAATTTACTACAAATCTTAATTAAATATTTAATAAATCAACCGAAATAAAAAACATAAAAGTATCGGTTTCTACCAATTTTTTATCACATATGGATAATCATACCCTTTGCACATGTGATCAACAAAGATAAATCTTACAGATTACAAGTTCATCTTTTTGACTTTCTTGCACAATCTAGATGGTTAACGTCTTTCGTTAAATTCAACATTTCTAGATGATAATTCACCTAAGTTATGTTCAACTACTTATGTTTTTTTTATTATCAACAGACTACAACTTTCCAGTCGAAGACTGACGAGAACTTGAATCATTTAACGTAATCCAATAATCTCGATTCTAACAATAATCTCAGACTGTCACACAGTCACTTATTTTCAAACTAGTTGGGCTTTGCCTTGTTGTTTGATATTTTGCACTCCTATACGCTAGTTAAATGCGAGAAGGTTAATAGAAACTGAAAGGTTAATAGAAGCTGAGAAGGTTAATAGAAACTGTTAAGTTTAAATAGAAACTGTGTCGCGTTTAGAATAATTCAATGTCTGTTTCATAGTCTGTACAAATCTCTCTGCCAGACAATTGGTTTTGGGGTGGTATGGTGCACTGTTAGTAACTTTTACACCATTCTGTTGTAAAAAAGTACGGAACTCGTCACTGATAAACTGAGGAACATTATGACATACAATTTCATCACATAAATCACAGTCTAAAAAAATGACATGCAGAATTTTTAATGTTTGTGCTGCGGACGTTTTACTCAGAAACTATCGGCCACATTGAGTAAGCGTCCACTGCTATAAAACATAAAACCCAGTAAAGGCCCTGAAAAGTTAATTTGTCCTCGAATCCAAGGTCGTTTTGGAAAATTCCATGGATGGATCGGAACCTAAGGTATACTAGATATATTTCTTGCACAACCATTGCAAGATATCACCAATATAGCTAGGTATTGGTCGATAATTGTCCGCCAAACATAACTGCGAGCTACAGACTTCATCTTGACCAGACTAATATGACCTGAATGGAGTTCATCTGGAAACCTTCTGTTTGAGACCACTTGGTGAACCCACTCGACATCCCAACATGTAAAGAAAGCTCGTTTCGTCGGTTTCTTTAAGGGTCAACAGGAACAGAATTAGGTTTACAATTATTTGTCCAACCTTACTCCATCATCTCATTAAACAGAGAAAGAGTATTGTCT